CGTGGCGGCGCGGCCGAGGGAGCGTGGCGGCGGCGGTGGCGTGCGGCGTCGCGACGCTACCCTCCCTCCCTCCCCGCGGCACGGCGTGCACGGCGACGAGTTTGGCTGCGGGCCCGGGCTACCCGCCCCGCCGCGGCGCCGCCGCCGTCCTGGTTGGCGTGCGCTATTCGCGGCCTCGGCCCTCGGCGCGCTGATAAGGGAAATCAGCCAGCCCGACGTCCCTGACGTATTGCAGCCTGCAACCCCTTACCGCGGCCCGGGTCACGGAACAAGGACGCGGCCGGGAAAGCCATTCGGCGGCGCGGAGCCTCGCGGAGCGGAGCGAACCTCGCAGATAAACTTGTTTACTTTCCCAGAGCGACCCCCTGCCCCTCAGCCAGGTGCACCGCGATTTTTCCACCGGGCCTTTCATGAAAAGGGAGCTCATCACAAACAAACAAAGCGTAGGCCGCCGCCGCCGGGGGTTGAACCAGGTCCCCGGCGCTGCGGAGACTTGACCCCGTAACGAGCTGCGAGCAGCGGCGAGGCGGAGACTCAGTCCGCTGTTTGGCCGCCGCGAACCTCGAACGCAACAACGACGTCGTAAAAGCCGAGTGGAGTGAATTCGACGGCGAGGGAAGAGGAGCACCTCCCCCTCCCCTCCCCCACCCACGACGGCGGGATTCCTCGCCTCCTGCGCTCCGCGGTGTAGTGCTCCGCGGTGGCGCGCCGCCGTTCCGCGAACAGCATGCTGCACTGGAACATCCGCGGGGCACGCGAGCAGCGCGCAGCACCGCGCAGCCCGGGCAGCACCCAATGGATGAAGCCATTACGACCAGGTACCGCCGCCCGCCAGGCCGCCAGTGCACCGCCGTGCACTGCCCAGACGGCCGGCACGGCCAGGACGCAGAAGCACTGCCTCCTGTTCTTCCCTCCTTTCTGGCCTGAGAGCGATTCAGAGCGGCGCTTGTCTCTCTCACCTCCTCGGCACGCCCCGTGAGTGCGAGAGAGACAGCGCGACTGCAGTCCCGGCAGCGACTAATGATGCACTCGGCTTGACCGCCACTGTAATTATTTCGCAGTTTTGACGCGCGGCCACCGGGACCGAACAGCGGAATGAACATGTCGGGCCTCTCTGCCGGCGAGTCGAGTCGCGGCGGTCGCGGCCACGCTATCACGGTGTACCGGATCGGCCACCTGCAGGCCGACTCGCTGACTCCAAACTCTGTCTCTCTCGCACTCGCTGGGCGGCCCGGAGAGGTGAGAGAGAGAGAGAAAGCACTGTGGAATCGCTCTCCGCGGCGAGATACACGGTTGTTGCCGCGCGCTTCGCCGCTTGATGATGAATGCCCTCGGGCCGGCAAAACGATTCCGCGATAGGATGTGCCGACGGACGTGGACGCCGTGGACGGCGAGCCGCGAGACCAGTCCCCGGCGGACGCGTTTTCAGCTCCACCATGGCTCCACGCTGCTCGGGTGGGGCACCAAATGGACTGCCCTGCACCTCCAGTGGCCCACTATGCCCACAGTGTACCAGAGAGGCTGAGCGTTTCGTCGCTCCGTCTCTCTCGCACCTGAACGGGATGCCCCGCGAGTGCGAGAGAGACGGAGCGCTGCCTGCCTTGCCTGCCGTCGGTGTCCGTAATGAGCGCATTACCGGCGCCGTCTGGGCGGGAAAAAAATAGACGGGCAATTTCCGTGGCGAGAAAAGCAGAGCAGGGCCGAGCAGGGCAGTGTCGTGATTAGTGATTTGGGGCGGCAGGGCGCTGCCACACTGCAAGGCTGCCGTTTACAGTGCGGAAGCTATCCGGGCGCTTCCGGCTAGCTTGAGCCAACACGCCGGGGCGGGGGTGGGGGTGGGGGTGGAGGCCTTGCCCGGAAATAAAGCCAGATATTCGCACCCTCCCTTACCTGGGGGGCCATCCCGTACCGTGCTTTCGTCGCTCTGTCTCTCTCGCACTTTGGCCGAGCCATAGGTGCGAGAGAGACAGTCCGTCCAGATCGACCCGACCAGCGTCCAGACAGCTATTTCGGGCAGGTGTTGAGGGAGCGCTGCGCTTTAGCGGGGACGCGCCGCCCCTGACGGGCGCGTCGCCTCGCCGCTCGTCTCTCTCGCACCCTTACGGGACGCCCCGTGAGTGCGAGAGAGACTCCTCGCTCGGAAATGAGTCTGCTGGCGGCGGCCCGGCGGGTCTCGCGGCCCCTCCTGTCATCTATCAATCGAGCGTGCACGGGGCTTCGCCGGGCTTCGCGAAGGCAGCCAAAGTGCTGTGCGCGGAACGGGGATGGGGAGTCAAGCGGTGGAGGGGGGAGGGTAGTGACCCTCGACGGCGGGGGTGTCTCCGTCGCCAGCGGGGCCAGCCGGAGGGAGGCAGGCCCAAAAGGGCCCAAAAGGGCCCAAAAGGGCCCAAAAGGGCCCAAAAGGGCCGAAAAGGGCCGCGCGGCGGGCCGAAGAGATAGAAGCAATAGGGGGATGTAGAGTCGGCGGAGCGGAGGGAATCGCATCGCGTGCCGGGGGCGTCGGCACTGTAGGTACTCTGTGGCGTACGAGCAAGGGCGGATCCAGAGTTCAGGGGGTGGGGAGGGGGAGGGGATGCAGCAATAGTACTTACAGAGGCGAAGTGCGACCTTTTGTCTACCTTCCAGGCGGCTTTTGTCACCTTAAGGGTGGGGCGACGCCCACGCCGCAATCTGGATCCACGCCCGCAGAGCTAAGTTTGACGAGCCCTGTGGCTGTCACCTGCGCCGGTTCCCGACGGGGTTCTCGACAGTGTCCTGGCAGTGTCCTGGCTTAGCATACGCGCCGTGTCCTTATGGGTCCTAATGGGCGCCCGGACAAGCCAGCGCGGCCATGGCCTTAGCGGGCAGTCCTGGCGTGGCTCGATGATCGAGGGCTTCGGTGCCTTCGTTGCCTTCGGTGCCTTCGGTGCGTACGGCGCGGCGACTTCCTTCCGCCCCGACCCCGAGGAGAGAGGGGGGGGGGCCGGTGCCGTACCAGTCCGGCCGAGTCACAAAATAATAATTATCCATCGACTTTGTGCAGCGAGACGCCGCTGACGGCGCCCTGCCGCCACGCGCCGCCCTGCAGGGTGGCTCGGAACGGCGCCTCGCCGCTCTGTCTCTCTCGCACCCCTACGGCGCGCCACACGAGTGCGAGAGAGACGGCAACAGAGCCTGGCGCGACTTCCAAATTACGGCGGTATCGAGCGCGCCGCAAGTCAGCCGGCCTGGAGGGCCTCGGCGTGTCCCTATTGATTGTCCTTGTTGCTCTGCATCGCAGTGCAGGTGCAGGCGGCGGCAGCGCGCCCCGCCGCGCGAAGCGCATACAGTACCCGCTTTGCAATAACTTTCACTCCCTGTTGTTGCTGTTGTTGTTTTTCATCCAAACTATCGAGAAAATGAGCATCGTTCCGTTTCCGGGCGGTGCACGGCCAGCTCGAGCACGCCCGGCCAGGCATGGCGAAGCGAAGCGAAGCAGCCAGTGTGTGCTCGGCGGAAGGAAGCCCCGTATAGGGTTTGAATGGAACGGTACCGCGCGCGCACGCAAGCACGCATCGCGCCGCCACGCACGCGCACGCAGTCGAGCTTTACGACCAGCACTGACCACTGACCGACCACGCGCACGCGCCCCGGCACCGACTCCGGCACCGGTACGTCGCATGGGACGGCGTGTCCTGGCGTGTCCATTTCGATCGGGGAGTAATACGTCATGCAGTGCAGTGCCGGGGATGCCGGGGCGGCTTGCTTCGAGAGGATCGAACGAGACTCGACTAGTCGACTACTCGACTAGCCGGCTCGGCGGCTGCGCCTAGCTGCGCCGCGGAACTGACCTGCCCCACTCGCCGGCCCGCGCCTCCCCGCGGGGCAAGAATAGCGCAGGACCTGTCATTACTCACACAGACTCACACACACAGACGCGCGCGCACACTCACACTTACACTCACTCACTCACTCACACGGCGGGGAGGTGCAAACCTCAGCGATACACGGTCAGCCCGCCGCTACGCCCACACGCTGTTGTAGAGTCGTTGAGACAGGCCAGGGGCCGCCAGGGGCCGCCAGAGGCCGCCAGAGGCCAGCAGGCTGGTTCCGAACGAGAAGTGCGCTTTCGTCGCCCTGTCTCTCTCGCACTCATGGCGCACCCCGCTAGGGCGCGAGAGAGACAGAGCGACTCGCAGCGCGGCCGGCGCCCGCGGCAACATCCTCGACATCGACATCGCCGTGCTGCATGTTCCCACCGACCGGCGCCGCCGTGCGTCCGGGGAAAAAATAATAAACAACCCGCCGGTATGGCGCGCTCCTTCGGCTTTCACCGGCGAGCCGAGGACGCGGGTTCGAGTCCCAGGAAGCGGCGGGCTGTTGTCCGTTTTGCGTCCGCCGGAGCCCCTCGCCTTCGCGTGACGTGACATCAGAGAGACGGCCCGGCCCCTAAACGGCAGCGCATTCCGCTCCACCACAAACGAGACGCGCTGATGGTCCGCGGCCATCAGTACCGCCGGGTACCGCCGTCGCCGTGCCGCCGTGCTCGGTTAGTTACTTTGTTGCTTTCCACTGCAGGCGGATGCTGGCGGAGGGGGCGTCCGGAAGCGACATCAGCGGCGTTTCGAGGCAGAAAATCACCCCCAAGACATAACCGAAATGAATGGTCCCTCTTCGTCTTCGATACGCATTCGTGATAAGAGGGCTGACCCGCCCTGCCCCTCAGGCTGTGTAGCCTCGCGGTTTACGGGCCTCCCCCTTGCGGATGGCAGCGTGTCTCTGCGCCGCTCTGCGCTGCCTTATGATCGCGCCCTGCCACCCCGACGCGACGCCGCCGCGCCGCCATGCCACGCCGGGTGACGTGCCGCGGGCGCGCTGGCGACGCTGGCGACGCTGGCGAGGCGGTGCAGCTCGCGGCAGTGGCAGTGCCAAGGCAGTGCGCCACGCCGGCCGGCCGGCAGCCTGTTCGAGAATAGCCTGCGCAGCCACTGCAGCCGGTGCAGCCTCTGCAGCCGCCGCAGTGCTCGCTGCAGGGCACCCACCTTTTCAGTCCCGGGTTCTTGGTGCCGTTGGCGAGGAGCTTGGGCTTGGGCTTGTCCCCGCACGAGGACGTGGGGGTGTTGGCCTGCTCCGAGGCCGCGGTGCTTAAGCTGCTGGCGGAGCTCTCGGTGGACATGCCCCCGTACGAGGCCGGCGCCAGCACCGGCTGGTCGCGGTGGGTCTTGATGATCTTCTTGGTGGTGTGCACCGTGCCGTTGATGCTGCTGGTGCTGCTGAAGGTGGTGGTGGTGGTGGTGCTGCCGCCGTCGTTGACCACCACCGTGGTGGCGGCGCTGTGGTGCTGGCCGTTGACGGGCACCTCCACGCCGTTGGTCCTGCCGTTGGGGTGGCCGTTGGAGGCCGGGGGCGGTGGCGGCGGCTCGGCGGGGTGCTGCCGGGCGCGCGCCTTGTGCACCATGGGCACCATGGGCTGCTGGCGGTGCGCCGCCTGCTGCGGGCTGCTGCCCGCCTTGTCTTCGGACGGGGGGATCATGTAGGACAGCATGGCGGCAACGTCACGACATCACTTTTCACTATTCACACACTTAATCCTACTGTGCACACGTGCAGACTTGACTCGATATCACATTTGGGTTGCTTTTTGGCGTTGACACTTTGGCGGTGCGCGCGTACCGCGTCATGGCCTCATGGCCGGTGCGTCGTGGCCGGGGCGTCACGGCAGTCACGGCAGTGCCAAGGCGTCATGGCGCTCCCCGCGGCGTGCTGGCGTGCTGGCGTGCTGGCCTCGTGCCTCGCGTCGCGTGATCGCGACCGCCGCGCTCCTCTCTGGCCATGCGACTGGCAAGCACTGGCGCTGGCTGCGGCTGGCAGCCTCGCGGTGCCTCGCGCCTCGCCTCGCCTCGCGGGGCCTGGCCGGCCTGGGCCTGGTGGGGCCCCCCAGTCCCCAGTCCCGGGCCCCAGTCCGCCGGGCCGGTGCGCGCTGCGCCGCGGCTAGCGACGTTTCGGCGGGGCTAGCGCGGCGAGGCGCTGGCCAGGGGCATGGCGTGGACGACCGCGGTGATGAGGTGCTGCTTGGACACGGGGCGCGTGCCGGGGCGGGGACAAAGGCAGGGTGCGGAGCGCGGACAACGGCGAGGTGGAGGCGCGGCGCGGACCCGCTCGTCGCGGCCGAGGACGGAGGCTGCGGACGGCGGCGAGCCTCTCTCCACACTGCCACTGCCTGGCCCGGCCCGGCCCGGCCCACCCCGCCGCCCCGGCACACCCCAAAGCCCCACGTGCCCGGCTCGGCTCGGCTCGGCTCGGCGCGGCTCGACTCGGCCCAACCCGGCTCGGCTCTCAACCACCCCCACCCCCACCTCCAGCCGCGCGCATGCGCCGGCCTCCCAGCGCCTCTCAGCTGATACCGCCCCTGCAGCCTGGCAGCCTGGCAGCCTGGCAGCCCCTGCGGCTCGATATCGCCATCCATCCCCCGTCCCGGCCATCCCCGCCATCCCCGCCAAGGGGATGCAGCGTTGTCAGACGGCCAGCCCGCCAGCCGCCCCGCCAGCCCCGCCAGCCCCGCCAGCCCTTCGCGCCGCGTTGCACCGACTGCACCGCATTCCCCACCCCGTCCACCGTCCACCCCATCCCTGCCACCCTCACCCTCGCCAGGTTTGCGAAACGACCGCTCGCGAAATTGGCTGCTCCGCGGGAGCCGGCGGCCTGGAGCGAGGCCCGGAGCGTGCCGAGCCGACGGCCCAGCAAACACCAACCAACAAAAACAACAATCGCGAATTAGGAAGAGGCTTTTGTGGCGGCGGCGGAAGGGGACGTCGTCGGACAGGTGCCGCGTCGACGGGGACCCCGCCGCCGTGCCGCCGTGCCGCGTCCTGCGACGGTGCGGCAAGTCCCTACTTGTCTCCTACACTATATTTAGGCCGTCCTGAGGCGGAAGCGGAAGCACCCTTAAAGGACACAACGGAAACCGGGAGCGCGAAACGCGGGGAGAGTAATTGATTCAAGACGGCCCAAGGATTTATCGGAGGTGTGGCTGTGGCGTGTGTCGTGGCGCGTGGCGGAGGATGGAGCGTTTCAATTTCGGCTCGTGCTCTTGTTTTTGTTTTTACTTTTTATCGGCTGTTTTCACGCCGCGTGCGCTTGTTGCCCGGGCGTGTAAAAATGAGGTATTTTTTGTGAGCAGTTTTCTTTTTGTTTCTTTTTGGACGATCGGTTTGCTGGGCGGTGTAATGGAGAGCGGCTGTCGGTGAAAGGGAGGGTGTGGGAGGGGAAGGGGGAAGGGGGGGCAAACTCAGACGATGCCCGGCCCCCTCTCCGGGAGCCCTGGGGCGCCAACAAAACAGCCACATTCTTCATGATATTGAGCCAGCACGCAGCCAGCAGCAAGCACATAGCGCGCCACCGCCACCGGCACAGCCCCACCCTCTCGCCTGGAAGTCTGGGTCTGGCCGCCGGCTGGCCGAAAATCCAGAGCCACCCGGCGCGCGGCGCGCGGCCACGCCCGCAGAAAACAACAACAAGAGCACGCCCAACTACGACGACGATGCCGGCCGAGTGCGGCCAGTGCCGCGCTTCCGTCGCTCGCCCTGTCTCTCTCGCTCCGCACACGGAACGCCCCAAGCGTGCGAGAGAGACAGACGCACCGCGCGACGGGAATGAAACACCGCCGGGAATTAATAGTGATTTGATCCCGGCGAGGACGGACGCAGAGCCAGGCGAAGCCGGGACACTCTCGGGTAATGCGAAGCGGCCAGCGGCCAGCGGCCAGCGCAGCTGCATAGCATGACCGACTCGCCGGGGAGCGGGGCAGAAGCTATGCAGCGCGGCAAAAAATTGAGTCATTTTAGTTTATGGCGACGTTGCCTTTCCTCGCAATCAATTTTCCTCAGAGGGCGGTCGTAACATTGGCACAAGCTGGCCGCGCCGTGGCCGTGGCCGTCACAGGCGGGATGTCCAGAATGTCCCTCGCAATGTGCGGTGCGGTGCGCCGCGGCCGCCGCTCGCACAATGACCAATCACCCGCCGCGCGAATCCGAATCCGAACCCGAACGCGAATAATAAAACTGAGAGCCCCGGAAGCGGTTTATGGCGCATTCAAACCGTGTCAACGGCGGGGCGCGGCCGGCGGCGAGCGACGTGCGATTCAGCGGCGCCAAGGTGACCCTGGCCACAGGCGCCCTCATGTGGGTCAGGGGAGTCATCGGCGTCATCACACACCGTCGTGCTCTTGCTGATGTTCTGCCGGTGCGCGCCTGCCGTCTCCCTGGGTAGGCAGTCCCGTAACACTGGCGTGCGCGCTGTGCACAGCGTTGCCTACCGCGCCGGGCGCTCAGCCGCCACCAAGCCAGAGGCCCGTTGGCTGGAACGCGGCGTCGTCGTCGGATGCAGCAGCAGCAGGTCCCACGGACTCGGTGCTCGGACGCACTTACTCCGGGACTCCTGGTTGTTTTATCCGGCCGTGAAACGGCAGCGCCCGGCAGCGCCGCAGGGGCGTCTGGAGTAACAGCCCCGGGGCTCTTCGGCCGAGGTCCTGGCCGAGGTCCTGGCCGCGGCCTCGCGCTTCCTGCCCGGCATGCACGCCGATAAGATAGCTCACGTCCGATCCCGGAGTGCTGTTACCGTTAAGACCGAGGCCGGCGACGTCGACGGCGACGTGCGCCAGACGACGGACGGCCGCTCTGCAAGCGCCTCACGACCGCCGGCGTGCCCGACAGTGTCCTGGACGTCCTGGACGCGCGTGACTTATCTTCGCCGCGGACGAATCGCGTCCGCGCCGCTGCCTGCCGCTGCTTCGGATCGTGAATCGGTTGGCATCGCGGTGTTTCGGTTTCACTCCATCGAGTGTATCTTCCTGGCGGGTCCGCGGGGTAAACGTTGGGGCTGCCTGCGTCTTTGGCGGCCGCCTCGGGCAGGTCGCGGCGTCCCGCCCCTGCGGCAACCGGAAGTCGGTGCGGCCTGCGGGTCGGCGTGTCGTCCGCGACAAGGAGGACCCCAAGCAGTGCCCCCTGCCTTCCAGCGAGGCCATAAATACCCCAGGGCGCCGCCACGGCCGCCACAGCCCGCGGGGACATGGGAGGCGCGCGACGCAGAGCCCCCGACAGCGGCGTCGTCGTCTACCTGGTGGCGGCGGCGGCTCTCCTGGCCGCCCCGCGCGTCGCCCCCGCGCCCGCCGACGACACCGGCCAGCGAGCGCCAGTGTCACCCCGGGTCGCAGAGGAGATGTACGCGGAAGCTCTCTACGGTAAGTCAAGGCTCGCTGGGCTTTGCGAAACCCGTCGCCACCTGACTTTCGTTTCCAAAAAATTACGACATTTCTTCCAGCGCCGGTGTGCCCCGAGGTGCGGTCCGCGCCCATGCTGACGCTGCCCGACGGCTCGGAGGTCGGCGGCCCCGACGACGAGGGTGGCGGCCCCGAGCCGGTGCGCTGGATGCTGATGCCCGACGGGCGCGGCGAGGCGCAGGTCGCCGTGCTGAGCGGCGCCCAGCCCAAGGACCTCCCGACCCTGGACGACGTCGTGTTCCTCCTGTACACCAGGTTGGCCCCGCCACGCACCGGCGCTGCAGACTGATTCCGACAGTCGTTTTCGTCGCTCTGTCTCGGTCACACTCGTGGGGCGCTCCCTATAGGTGCGAGAGAGACAGAGCGACGTAAAGGAGGATTACTCTAAGTGTGGCGTCGCTGCGTGCTGCGCAGGGCGAACCCCGACCGGCCGGAGAGGCGTGCCATGAACAGGACGTGCTTGCCCACCTTCAACACGTTCCAGGCCGACCGGCCCACCGCCGTGCTCATCCACGGCTTCGGCGACAACCTCCAGGAGTCGTACATGATCCCGCTCCTCAAGGACGGCAAGTGTTACTGAGGAACCCCGTTCAAAGTGTGTTGCCGATCGCCCCTAACGCAATCCGCCCTTTGCACAGCGTTCTTGGAGCGCGCCGACGCCAACGTGCTGGCCGTGGACTGGGGCCGGCACGCGGCCACGCCGTGGTACCAGACGGCGGCCACGGCCACGGCCTCGGTGGGCCGCCACCTGGCCGCCCTCATGGACCACCTCGCGGCGCAGCAGGGCCTGGACGTGGCGCGCACCCACGTGGTGGGCTTCAGCCTCGGCGCGCACGTGGCCGGCCACGCGGGGAAGGCCGTGCGCTCGGGCCGCGTGCGCCGCATCACTGGTAACCACGCGCTTTTCCATCCAGACAAAAAGCAGCGCCGGCGGGGATTTGAACCGCGAACCCGGGGCTTGGTTGGCAGGCCTGGACCCGGCTCGCGTCCTCTTCGAGGGCCTGGGGCCCGCGCAACGCCTGGACAAGAGCGACGCCGACGTGGTCGAGGTGGTGCACTCGTCCGGCGGCTACCTGGGCTTCTCGCAGCCGCTCGGCCACCGGGACTTCTTCCCCAACGGCGGCGAGTGGCCGCAGCCCGGCTGCGTCTTCGACTTCATCTGTACGTTTCCAGTGTAATGTGAGACGCTCAGCGCTCAGCTCAGGCGAGAGGTGTCACTGTGGTGATGGCGTCGTGCTCTGTGTAACCCACCCGCAGCCGTGTGCAGCCACCGCCGCGCCTACTACTACTACGCGGAGGCCCTGAAGGAGAGCCAGCGCTTCCCCGCCTACCCGTGCGCCTCCATGGAGGAGTACAGGAACGGGAAGTGCGCTGGGGAGCCGGGGGCGCACCTAGGCGACGACCAGGACCACTGCAGCGACCAGGGATGGTGAGTGTGGGCAGCCAATCCCAGAGAAAACCACGATTCGGACAAAAATGTTGGTGGTTTTCGTTGGTGTTGCAGCACGCAGGGAACGTTCTATTTCGAAACGAACCCCTCATCCCCGTTCGCTCGCCCGGACTCGCCTCACAGCCCCTCGGCAGAGCAGGCCTAGGGAGTACGCAGCCTGGACTGTCATTTTCCTTTCTCCATTATTTATTTTTTGAAATGGAATTATTTATCAGCTGGTGAGGGCGAGAGGGAGGCAATTACGGAAATTAAAGCAGGTCTAAACAGTTACAGATAGATTTTTCATTACTTAGAAAAAAATAAAGTACATGATTATTGTAAAGCTGTTGGACAAGAACAAATGGTACGTATTTCTCGAGTATGTATCAGAGTATCACAGAAACTAATAAAGCAATGCAGAAATAACGAGGAAGGCACAATTGAATACATTTGGACAACTAAGAGACACAAGCATGTGTAAGAACTATGTGAGGAAGTAAAATATTGAGATAAAAATAAATACCTGATTGCTACAACTTTTCTTAATATTCCTCTCAGGCATTTGATACATTAATTAAAAGAGAAAAAAATAGTTTTTATCTGAAAACAGTCTAGCATGGTAAGTCTACACTTGATAATATTTGAACATACACAAGAAATCAGTCATAAAAGTTACAGAATTTATCAATCTTCAATTTATCTTCATTAATGAGTGAGTTTGTGAATTAAAAGTTTGTGAAATGCTTCTGATCACAGATTATTTTTTTTAAATTAGAGGAAAAAACACAAGACAACTATCACAATACTCATACAACCAACAAGGACCTTCAACATTAAATTTGAAATATCATGGCAATGTTCCCACACATAAAAGTACAAATTGAAGTGGTTTAAACGATAAAGACTACAACAAAACATGATCTGTGTTTCTTTAAGGTCGCCAAAATGCATAATAAAAATATACAGAGTATCTAAAAGATCCAATCTAAGAGAAATATACAACACTAACATCCCTAATGACTACTTAAATGGCATCAACTTAGTTATTCTTTCATTGGAACATGAACAATTCAACAAAACAAGTAAACACATCGGCCTCTGTTCAGGAAATAGCATATCAGATCCGTGCTGATAGTGAGCTGGTTGCAGCCTTATAATCAGTCATCATCTTCATCTCCAAGGGCAGCAAATTTGTTTGTTGCCTGAATAGGGGAAACATCATCATCGCTACTACCACCATTGCTGCTACCATCAGCATCGTCCCCTTCTTCCTCTTCATCATCCACCCGTCTCCCTTGAGCCTGCAGCACTGCTTGATCTTCTTCATCATCGGAAGATAGATCCAGTTGAAGAGGAGTAGCATGGTCCTTCTCTCGTGCTTGAATCCAGCGAACTATTTCAACCTCAGGATGAACTGCCCACGATTCTGAAAATCCAAATAAAAATTAAATGGTATATTTCCTAAATTATCTGTAGAAAAATACTGTTTGAAAAATTGTCACCAAGGGGCACCAACCTTTTTTCTTTCCATATTCAGGAGGATGCAAGCACACAGTAATTTTCCCATCAAGGGCCATTCTTAGCAAATGATTGGCTGCACGGTAGGCATCAAGTCGGGCTGCTTTAGCAGTGTAGAAAGAACGCTTAAGAGCCCATCCTAAAAATACAATAAAAGACTGATTTTAGAACAAGAAACTTACAAAACTAAGTGCTCAATAAAAATCAGCTTCAAATTTAAGTTGAAATCAATCAAATTTTACCATCACAAATATCCATGGCAGACCACTCATCATCTCCCTCCGGGTGCTGCAGTTTCAACAATTGAACCAAGTCCAGCCTTTCTGCAATGTACTGCACAGTTGAAAATGGCTCTCGAACTTGAGCGATTGGAAAACTACCCATCAATATCTATTTAAAAATGAAAAATATGTAAACTGATATGTAGGAACAAATAATGACTGGTCTATTCAATACCTAGATATTGCTCATCAGCTTACCTGTTGGACTTTCTGAACCTTTGATGGAAAAACGAGACCAGGACAGTCACAGAGTCGTACAGTGTTTGTTAACCAAATTGTTTGGAAATGCTTTGTATGTCCAGGTGTTTTAGACACACTCACAACCTAAGTCAGAGCAAAAAAGGAAAAAAATTAATGTGGCATTTACCTTAGTCAAAGAGAAATTCTTTTACAGCACTGATGTTAAAACCAAATATGGCTTACCTTTTTTCCCATGATGGCATTCAGCAAGGAGGACTTCCCCACATTAGGTTGGCCAACACAACCTATAGTTAGAGTTCCATCTTTGTATTTTTCATGTTCCAAAAATGCTGTATCTTGCTTTTTCAACTGAGAACACAAAGGGTATAAAATTAGAGAACATTTATAAAAGTTTTGTAAAATAAGGAGAGTGGGTCATTTAAAATTACATTTATAGTTTCTGCAACTTCTAACTCATCCGTCTCAAATTCCAACTCCATTTCTTCAGCGATTTTTGTTTCCCAAGAGGATAGATCAACTGCAATAAAGGAGGATAAATATCAACTATCTTAAGAAAAACAAAGCATTTGAAACATTGATAACATCCATTGCAAGTACACTGGGCTAACCTTGATCTTTAACAATATTTTTACAGGCCTCCAGTAGCTTTTGGGCCCCCTCAGCTGCCATACGCATTTTACCCCTTCGTCTTCTTGTTTGCAAACCTTGCAAATAACAGGTAAAAATTAAGTAAGATAGTCAGTGATTGCCTGCTTGAAACAACAAAGCTAAATTCAAATTTACCTCCTTCTTTCCTAGGAACATCAGCACTCAATCGAAGGTTATAGTCTGGATATGATGTGAACAAAAGAACATGTAATTCCGGATACTTTTCTTTGAAGTAATGCTGCCAGGCAAGAACCAAAGGTGCTGGTGCAAGGTCCACTTTGTTTAGGACCAATATCATGTCTTTCTTAAGTGTTTCAGTAACATACTTGTAAAGAGATGGAGGAAACATAAGTGCCTGTGAACATAATTCACATACATTGAAACAATAAAATACCAGTGGCATATTAGACAAAAAATGTCACACTGACTTAACTCAAATACTAGATAATACTTACAGGAAACCGAATGTCAACAATGAGGAGGATCACATCTGACATTTCTAAGACTCTCCACAACTGCCTCCAAGTTTCAAGATTCAATTCAAAGTAACTCATTTCTTTCCAATCAAATTTCTTCTCTAACTTTGACACATACTCCTGCAAAAAATAATAAAAATTGTAATTAATATTTGTGTAAGCAGATGTAAGAAGTTAATGTAATTAATTGAAATGACAGACAACTCACTGTGAAATATCGATGCTCTCGACTTTCAAGTTCAGCAGTTGACATATTATGATTCCATGGTGGGCGAGTAGGAAAATCTAACTCTGGAGTAAAGTATGTATCTGCATCTATTTCAAAACCTTCCTCTGTCACAGGTACAATTCCCTTCCTAGCTGCCTCCTTCCGTTCTTTGATCTCAGCCTCAGTCTCACGGTGAAATTGAAGAGCATATCTGAAACAAAATTTGAATGCATCAATCCTAAGAGTAACCTTCCGCATTCACTGCAGAGTCCACACCATTTGACGTTCAATCAAAGTGTAGTTTATCATTCGAAAGCTTAACTTACCTGTTTGGGTTAGACTTGGAACCTCTAGCATTGGGTTGAGAATTGAGTTTGCGAACTCGGTCACCAGGAAGACTGCTTTCGGACTCATCATCTGCGCCACCATGATGCAATCCTGTAAAACAAAAAAAAAACAAGGATGTGAGAAAAAAGTAAAAAACCAAAAAAGCAGTGGGCAGTAAAATTAATTTTTATTCATCTAAAAAATCAGAGAAAGAGATTCAACATTCAGTATAAAAATTCAGAATTCCTCACAATAAAGAGTAGACTATGGTTAGGACATTGAGAGAGTCATGGAGAAATTGTGCATTGGCTATATAACTGCTATGATTCCAGCACCAGCACGTCTCAAAATCACTAATAACAAATACCTCAAAAAACAAAGAGACATTGGCATGGAATGTGACAGGCAGAGGTTATGGATCTTTCTAGCAAAAGAATGGCTATTATTGATTGTAGCAGTGGAGGACGCTTACCCGGGGTAGCAATGACAGCTTTTTGCTGCCGTTTAGCAAGAAGCTGCTGCTTTTTCGCTTTGCCACTAAACGGCACCTTTTTCCGACCCTGTGGCATTTTTGCTTTTAGGGAGGAGACCAACAGTTTCTGCAGGTTACTTTGCTTCCACTCCCACTCCCACTCTCAGCTGTTGAAAACAAAGAACAAATGACGATCAATATAGTCTTCCCCTCCCCAAACCCCTTCCCCTTGACGGGAGGATCCGTTCTCGCTCTCGACTTAATTTACCCTTTCGAGCAGTTAAATTGGAAGGAAGGGTGTCGTCTTCGGGCTTTCAAAACCAAATCTGACGTACTGCTCGCGCCTCCTCCGGCGGTGCTCTTTGATTGGCTGTCCCTCCTCCCTCCACTGTAAGTGCAGCGAGCGGCAGATTCGAAACTCGCCGACGGACCGCCTGCCGCATAGGCAGCCCAACGTGCTCTCGCTCTTGCCGTCCAGACCAAGAGCGGGCCGCCCGGGGGGTAGGCCACCCAACGTGCTTCTCACAGTGCGAGTGCGGGGAGGGGGCGTCACGCCAGGGATTCTGAACAGTTGCCTTCTCTAGCACCTCTTGGACTTCGAAACTTTGAAACCCGCCACCCGGCATCGTTTTTCAGCGATGCCCTCGACACATGGGCCTTCCACATGGCCTTCCGCGATCCAACTCTCACGCCGCTCCCCGCATGGAACTCATGGAACGCATGGAACACGCGCGGCACTGAGTCAAGCAGCCGGGCCTCTGACGCGGTAATAATAAGATATTACCGGCATGCCCAGTACGCTGGTTCCGAACAGCCACTCTGTCTCTCTCACTCTCATGGGGCGTACCGTAGGGGTGACGGAGCTTCGGAAGCAGTCCGCGGTGGCCAGCCCGGCCCGGGGCGGCTGCCCCCACCTCGACCACAGTGACTTGACTCGATAGTTAAAACCTTGCTATTAAATAACTCCTAAGCCCCTGGAGCCCGGCCCGGCCCGGCCCGCCACGCCACGCCACGGCAGAGCGCGCGTGAGGCGCAGTAGATAAGGAGGAGTTACGGCGTGGCCCATCCACGTCAGATTTTACAAGTCGTAATTTACATTTTAATTCGTGATCAAATACCGTCTGCCGGCTGCAGGCTGAGGCTCCCCAGAGGCTCGCCGTCGTCGTGCACCGCGCTCGTCGTCCCCGTGGGGCTCGTCGTGGCCTCGGTGACGTCGGTGACGTCGGCGACGTCGTCCGCGGCGGCGCGGCAGCTGGCGGCGCGTGTGTCCACTCTGTGGCCGCGGTGCCGTGTTGGCGGTGGAGGGGGTGCTGCCGCAGGGCGTACACGGCGAACAACCCGGGGCAGAGGGGTTGTCGGCGGCCATGCTGGCCGTGCCTCGCTCTACTCGCTCGCTGCCTCCAAGTTCCAGCCCTTGTTCGAGGCCGTGTTCCCGGACGGGGGAGGGGCGTAACAGGAGGCCCCGATGGGACGCCCGATCCAGCCAGCCGGGGCAGCCGGGGCAGCCGGGGCGTGGACGGGATTTAATTTCCAATCCGATCCGAAGCCCTCACTGCCGCATAGTACCCATTCCACGCCACGCCCCGCCACGCCCCGCCACGCCCCGCCACGCCACGGCACTGCGATGAGGGGGCGTACATAATTTACCGAACGTGTTCCTTTTACGCCGTGCCTGCACGCGTGCATGCGCGCCGCGTGGACCCCGCTTGCATAGAGGGGCTCTCGATGAGGCCCCCCTCCCCTCCCCCCTCCCCTCCCCCTCGACCCCGACAGTCCCAGAATTGCGCGCTGGCCTGATAAAGGATCGGGCATAAATTCCGATCATGAATGCCCCGCGCCGCGCGATGCTTTGGCCTTCACTTATAAAATTGAATGTGGACTACTCCTCGCGAGCCATATATTAGGGAAGAGGAGGATTCTCGCGAAGAAAAGGCAAAAGCTGTCCTTGCCGCCCCCTCTGGGGAAGAAAGGTAGTAAGGGGGAGGGGGGGCCTCACCTGACGGCGCAGCAAGCAGAGCACGGGGACAAAGCGTCTGCAGGCCGACTCCGAAAAGTCGCGCTGTCTCTGTCGCACTCACGAGGCGCGCCGTAGGGCCCGTAGGGGTGCGAGAGAGACAGAGCGACGAACCCTCGGAACCGCTCGGCTGGGCATTGTGCCTCGGCGGAGCACGGCCGAGCCTGGCGGGGTGACAAATCCTTGTGACACGCTTGCGGTGCAGGCCCGGGGGGAGGGGGAGGGGGAGGCCAGGGGTCAACTTGCTCCATGGACGGGGGAGGGCGGGGGGTAAACTCAACCCTCGGTAAAGCTATATAGGGGAGGAAGAGAGAGGGGAAAAAAGAAAAATAAAGAAAGGGTCAAAGGTCGGGTCGGGCCGAGGCTCCGGCCTGGGTCTTTGGTTGCCTCCCAGCCTCCTCCAAGTCCTCCGGGCTGCGGGCTCCGGGCCGACCGGGACCCGGGTGGACCGACCCGGCTTGCTCGCAGAGTCACTCTAAAAAGAAATCCGGGTGGACGGGTCTGGTCAATACGGACGACGGGGCGACGGGACAAGACGCCCTAACAAGTCTCCCTGACAAGCCTCGGACTCCTCGGACGAGCGGCTACTTTCGGTTTCCTCTTTCTTCTCTGCTTTGGCCGGCCAGCCTGTGGCTGCCTGTGGCCAGCCCCGTCCGCTGGGGTTGATAGCCTGGCGAAGCCAGCAGAAATGCCGAGTCCGCTCGGCTCGGAAAAATACCACCCGGGCCTTACCTCGGGCCCCAGGCCGCGCCACGCCACTGCAAGGCCCACGCCATCCCTCGTCGCGGCGTTCGACTGCTTCGGCGTTCCATCCCGCCATCACGGCCTTTCTAAATAACTGTTCGCATGCCGCCTCGCTTGCCTCGCTGCACGTAAGACGTAAGGCGATTTCCCCCATAAATTGAATAGCGCAGTCGTAAAATATATCGTCCCGGGCACGGATTTTGAGCGGCCAACCGTCCCAAAGTTATTTTCCTTGGGCTGGCGCCATGCTCGCCGTGCTGGCCGTGCTGGCCGTGCTCGCGTTGGCGTGGGCTGGCGCCGTTCGGGTGGCTTAGTGCGCGGCCTCCACTGGGGGTCCCGCCGGGCCCCGCCGGGCCGCCAGGCCCACTGGGTACACACATTCAGATTCGGAGCGAAGGCCACCCGCGGCGGCGGATCCATATTGGGATTGGGTACCCCGCGGAGGTACCCGCGAGGCACAAGGCCAGGCTCGGCGGGGTGGGCTGCACAGCGGGCTGATCCCGAACAGTCTTCGCTCCGTCTCTCTCTCGCGCACGGGGCACCACGAGAGAGAGAGAGAGAGAGAGAGAGAGAGAAGAGAGAGAGAGAGAGAGAGAGAGAGAGAGAGAGAGAGAGGCGGAGTGAGCCGGCAGGTACCGCCCCTAGGCAGGCCAGGCCGGCAAAGGCAGGTGAGTCCAATCATGCCGGGGTGCCGCTCTGCTGCCCTTCCATTAGTGCCAACAGCCCTAACTGCCGGCCGTCCTTTATTCCGTTTTTTCGTCTCGGCCTTCTCCTTCTAGAGCGTCGTTACCGTCGTTGCCATCGTTACCGTCGTTACCGTGCCCGCGTCATGCAATGCCGCGGCTCCGCGGCTATTTGGACGAAATGACACGGCGGCCCGTCTCGCCGCGCCAGCCGCGTCCACCGTCCGGCGTTTTACACCGCCACGCGCGGTTTATGTTGGGATTGGTGGGCCGAAGGATCGTTTCGTAGCCCTGTCTCTCTCGCACCCCTACGCGATGCCGCGACGCCCCGCGGAGTGGCGAGAGAGACGGTGCGCCGGGCCGCGCCATGGCGCCGTCGCGTGACGAGCTGTGACGAGCCGAGCAGAGGCTCGAGTATCAATGAACTCGATGGCGGCACGGCGCGGCACGGCCTGCACACTGTCGTCTGCATTGACATGGATAAGGATCCACTCACTGATATCCTTTGACGTCCACTCTCCTTTCCTTTTTAATTTGCTGCGACATGACAATGCCGGCTGGCACTCCCCGCACGACAGCGCCTGGCCGCTGTCTCTCTCGCACTTGTGTGGTACCACGTAAGCCGCGTAGAGGTGCGAGAGAGACAGAGTCAGTCTGCCGTCGATAGTGCATGGCGCAGCACGACGAGTGGCGGCGTCGCGGTGGTCACACCGCTCGTGACACTGACGCGTCACAAACGCGTCACAGACGTGTCACGTGGCTCCACGGGACGCGCCCTGTCCTGTCGATAGTGGCACCGCCACTGGAAACGGCAGGGGCCCGTCACGCAACGCGTTGTCACAAGCGTGTCACAAGCGTGTCACAAAAGTGGCGCGTGTCTAATTTCTGGGACCGCCGCAGCTGCCGCTGCTGTCTGATATTTGATATGCGCGATGCCTGACACTAACAGTGCCGTAAAGAGAGGCAACGCCCGAAAAAAAAGGCTTTATCTTGAACAACGATAATTCACTATGACTTTACTTGAAAATTTCTAAAAATTAAATTTAATTCACTTCGGTTTAAGAAAGGACTTTCTTTCAGACGGGGCGCTCCGTGTCACAGTGTAGGAGTAATTTGCGGCGCCGGCATGCAGTGCGATTGCGTGCCGCACTTGATTCTCGCTTTCATGGTGGTCGCTTTTCTAACATTAAAAAGGATGGATGGAAATAGCGGGGCGGGGCGCACCGCACACCGCGCACTGCACTGCAAACACAAGTGTGAGACGCCTGCCTTATAGTGTGGCGGGGGACAGACTGTCCCACGCGTGGAAGCGTCAGACAAACCAAGACAAACCCATGTCCGACACTTGCTGGAAGAAAAAAGTGTACGGGAAAAGCACGGAACACGTTTTGGCCAAAATTCCACCCACAAAGATTTTTTTTTTTTCAGTGCTGTGGTTGTTCCAGGTATTTGCAGTGCCGCGGCGCCATCCCCCCGCCACCCATCGGCGTGTTGAAAGCCATTCCTTTTGTCGTGACGCTGGTTGCATCGCGTTGCAGTGTAGGCGTCTTGGGGGGCCGCGGGCTGCGCCGCCGTGTCATCAAACGGGTGCCATTTCAAAGTAATCCTCCGTTTTTCTACACCCCTCCCAATTTTCGCAATTTTTCATTCCAGTTTTTTTCTGGTTTTTGCTTCCCGCCGCTCTCTGATCGGCGCTGCGATGGTCCGCTTCGACATCTAGAGGACGGGCGAGTCGTGCTGGCCGGCCATCGTGATCCGGGCGGGGCGGGGCGGGGCGGGGCGGGGCGGGCGGGGCGAGGAGCCAGCGGGGCGGGGCCCTGCCGGCCACATGGTCCGCCCCCCACTGCAGTGTAGTGCCCCGAATCAAGACCGCGAATCCGAGAGAGCCGAAGCGGGCCGCGCGCTTTTTATATTCAAATCCGGGCCGACATGTAAATCAGTCTAATAATCTGTTTTGGATCCGCGGTCCACACACTGAGTGGCGTCTGGGGCAGTCCGTGGGCCGTGCCGCAGTCTGTCACTCCGTCTCTCTCGCACTCACGGGCTGTCCCGCTGAGGTGCGAGAGAGACAGAGCACACTGAGGCTTTCCCCGCGGCGGCTAACTCCCGGGTATTCCCCGGGGAGTTGCTCGCTTTTCCCGCCTTTTTCCTCGCGGCCCGCCACTCGGGGGAGGAAGGCTTTCCCGGCTGGAAAAGCACGCAGCGTTGCGCGCTTCTAAACAACGCGCGCCGGATACCGCGGGAAGAACAAATAAAGTAAACAAAAGGATATTGAAACTGTGGAAACGAATCTCGATAAAATTGTTGCTGGGCCAGCAGGCCGGGCCTGGCCGAGCTGCCGGCTCGCCCGCGAGGAGGAGAAGCAGCAGGAGGTGGTGTTGTTTTTCACCACACCATGCGCGCGGCTGATCTAACCGACGCATTGAAAATATTTAATTAAAAAAAGGAACGCGAATAACTCGTTCTGACGTCAAATGGAATCTCGAGGCCCGATAAAAAATGAAATTGTCGTCCGACTTTGAGATGAGATAACCCTACGATAGAGGAAATGGGAAATGCGCCTCATGTTACATTGTGGGTATCGGCCGTGACGCAACGCCCCTACACTATACAGCCCCAACGGCCCAATTTTCATTGTAACCTCGCTACTGCCTTCCAGGAGCAGTCAAGTTAATTGAACATAAAAGCCGCTCGAGACGGGGCGAGACAAAAAAAAATAAAAAATAAAACTAAAAAGCGGACGTCAGCTTGCTGCCGTGTCGCCCCCTCCTTTTTTACGAGCTTTTCAAACCCACTGTTTTGCGAAGCCCGTTTGGTGAGGCCCCATTTCCAGCCCCCTGGCGTCGCACCGTCTCTCTCTCCTTCTCTCTCTGTCTCTCTCGGCAACCCGATGCTTATCCATACACAATTATAATTGGTACATTGAGCGCTGCGCTACGCTGCTGCCGTTTGGCGCTGACCCCCTGTCGGCTTGCCCGGCTTGCCTCTGTCTGCACCCCACAGACCACCGTAACTGCCGCGCCCTCGTGCCGCAGATACGTCGCTCTTTGACGGCGCGGCCTGCGGGGGGAGGGAAACGAGATAAAAGTTGTACGGATTCCAGGAGGGAGGGGAGGGGAGGAGGGAGGGGGAACGGAAGGATTGGCTATTCGATTTGTTCCACGGACGCGCGTTGCATTTAAAATCGATCGACGTCTGGAAATAATAAAATTTATCATGACTTTGTATCGACGGCGACAGGGCCGCGCGGCGGGCTGACTCCGAAACCCGCTCGTCGCTCTGTCTGCCTCTGCGACGAGTTGTGAGAGAGACAGAGAGAGACGAATGGACGTTCCGAACGGGCCTGCAGACTGCCGCAGAAGGCTTGCCAGAAGGCTGTCAGGAGGCTGCCATGCGGGATGTATCATGTGTGCAGCTGGAAAATCCTTGGTCTCTTGTCAAAGCGGTCCTGGCTGTCCTGGCTGTCCTGACACAGCCAGGCTTGTTTATTGTGCTTATCTGAGGCCCGGTTTGCATTTTGCGTGAGTGCGTGAGTGTGTGTGTGTGTGAGCGTGTGTGTGTGTTCGCGAGCGAGCGAGGCCTCAGTGTGTGTATGTGTGAGTGTTCCAATCGGTTCGTGGGTAAAATAATAAGCAAACCAGTTTATCAATCACTTCGGCCTCTCCGTAGGTCAGGTGGAACTATTTTCTTATGATTGTCCAACGTCCTTCCTTGGTCGGCGATTGCAGCTTTCCCGAATCAATGAACCCATTCATTCGTTGCGCAAGACACTTCCCTGGTTCGCGGTTCGAAACAGTCTGAACGAACCTGCGTTGCAGACTGATTCCGAGAGTTTTCGTCTCTCTCGCACCTAAGCGGGGTGCCCCTGAGTACGAGAGAGACAGAGAGACGACCACGACTCGCGGAATCAGTCCGAGCTTTGTCGCGGGTCGCTGCGCTGGAAGCGACTGCTGTGCTCCCACAGAGCGCTCTGCCGTGCTCCGCTCCCCGGGCTCCGGTCTGAGTCACCTCTCTGAAACGAAAGTAGCGGGAGGAGAGGACGGGACGGGACGGCCGGTGCCAGGACGGGGTTACCTTTGCTCACCTTGTTATGAAATCGCACGGCACAGGAAGCAGAAGAGTTCGCATGGGTTCCCCCTCCACTTGGGCGACCCCAGCAGTTCCCCCCGGTCCCCAGCCCCAGCCCTGCCCGGCGGCCGGCCCTGCGCTTGCCTGCCCTGCCCTGCGCTGCCCTGCGCTGCCCAGCCCTGCCCTGCCCACTGAACAGGTCCAGGAGGGGTGGGGGGCGCGGCGGCGCGACGAGTGCTGCTCTCTCGCGGGAGTTCCCTCAAGCTGCTCGCTGCCGGGCCGGGCGTGGCGGCGTGGCGTGGCTGCGGTGCCGCGGCGCGGCCGCGCGCGCGCGCCAGTCGAGGTGCGCCACCCCACCCGCAAGGACCTCGTGCGTCGTGCGAGTCATGAGGGTGACGGCTCCACTGCGGGTTTGAGCCACCCTGTGGGAATGTGCGACTAAATCTGTGCGAGTGTTCTCGGCCGTTTTATTTAGTTTATTTTATTTTCAAATTGCCAGTTTGATGCCAGAGGAAGCGGCTTATTTTTGTACAGTGCTGTACCCTAGTGTGAAAAGTGCTTTGTGATATGGTGACGTGCTACCCGTCGTACGACATGACACCGCCGCTGCCCTCGCCGGCGCAGTGCGGCGCGGCCTCGGCCGGGGTGGGCGTGGGCCCCGTCGGCGGCCCCGGCTCCGGCCCGGTCGGCGGCAAGGATTACTCCCGCCCGCTCCATGTGGACTGCAGCGTGGAGTACGAGCTGCCGGACGCCGCCAAGCCCCCCGCCGGCCAGCGCTCCGAGCCCCTGCTCATGATCCACCCCTGCTACTACCGGCGAGCCGAGGCGCAGCGACGGACCCGCTTCGTCAACAACCTCCCCAAGAGCCTGTCGTCGCCGGTGACGACGTCCTCGTCGTCGTCGTCCTCGTCGGGCCGGCGCAGCAAGGTGGCGCGACTGTCGTCCGAGCCGTCGTGGCCGCAGCCCAAGCCCGTGTCCTTGCCGGTGTACCCGGCCTGCGCGCCGACGGCCATGACGACGGGCATGACGATGCCCAGCAGCGCGGCCCTCTCGTCCCTCTCCTCGTGCTACAAGGTGGGCGCCACGGCCGACTTCAGCACGGCGTCGTGGCCGGGCCGAACGCCCGCCGCGCCCTCGTCCGCCAAGCTGGACGCCGGAGCCGTCCTCTCGGGTGAGTTGGGTGCCTAGTGAGTGTGCTACAGTGCAAAAAGTGAAAAAAAGAGAAAGTGAAAAAAAAAGAAGTGCCGTGTTCGTGTGCAAAGTGCATCAGTGGTTTAGTGCTGCACCTGTGATTTGGATTACCGCCACACACCCCATGGATTAGCCGAGCACGCCTGCGCCACTGTGGATTACCTTTGGATTACTCTTCAGCCATCACCAGCAGGCATTTCATGTTGTGTGTTTGAAATGTCCTCTAGAGGTTTGCCGTCTCTCACTCTCATTTTATTCTCTCTCTCTCTCGCTGCTCTCTGTACTAAAATGCGTTCGCGATGAACGTGCGTCCGGAGGCGAGTCGTCCTTCCGGCGTCTCCGGAGACCTCCCTCCGCGGGAACGCCCGGGACGCCCGGAACTCGGCGTCCTGGTCCGTCGCGTGGGTCCGGGACTAAGTTTGAAGCGCTGAAAAAGGGGCTAAGTTTCTCTCTGGGCGAGCGCGGCGAGCGCGCTTGTGTGCCTCGGCCTCGGTCTCCTCGTGGTGGGCAAACTTTGGCAGTGGAGCCGAGGCTAGGCCCTTGCTAGGCCGGCTGGGAGTGCCTTGCCTTTCCTTACCCGAATTATTGCCGACCCGCTCGGCTGCTCGTTCCCCGGCAGCTCCACAACGCGCCAGGCCTCCATCCAGGCCGCCATCCAGGCCGCCACACGAGGGCTGAATTTTCCGGCCGCCGCCCCCGGCACGGCAACCCCCGGACGGGCCGGGCCCAGTAGAGTCTCTAGGTCTCTAGGGCCCAGAGGCCGCCTATTTTTAAACGAGTTTGCCGCGCTCCGTTTTTCGGCGCTGTTTTCGGCAGGGTAACAGGCTGGGAAGGGCAGGCTGGCTCGGCCGGCTCGGCTGGCCTTTGTGCGGTCTGTTGTGGAGGTAGTTTCCTGTGACATGTCTGGCCGGGACAGGACGGAGCCTATCCTGGACTGTCAGGCGGGGCTTGGTGTCCCCGTGTCCCCACGTCCCCGTCCCGTCCCCCCTACGAGGCTCGCTCCGCGCTCCGCCCCTGCGGCCCCCCGTCGCCGGCCCGCCCCTGCCCCCCGAGCACGCCGAGCTATGAACTTTGCCTTGCAGGCCCCACTGGCCTGCCGCCCGGCCTAGGCAAGCCTAGGCACTCCCACGCCCGAATCACAAAGGGAGGGCACGCACACTGTAAGGATGCAGTCAGGTGCGACCGCGCGGCGCGGCGGTCGTTTCAAATTCATCGAACGCAGCTGAGGCCTTATTGATGGCGAGGGCGAGCGCGCTATGGCTTTCGTGGCGTTTAAATTATTCCTGTCGTATAAGTGTAGGCCTGCAGGGCAGCGCCGGATGTGTGGGGAAGGGGGGGGGGTGCTCTTCCGCTGCTGGGAAACACTAGGGAACACCTGCGCTAGGGCCGGCAGGGCTGCATCACGCTGACAGGATAAGGGCTGCAGGCCCAGGGCCGGCCAGGGCCGGCGGGGTGATGCCCGCTGCCGCACTGTTCGTGCGATATGCCCTCGCCCGGTGGCTTTTTAACCCTTTTTCGTGTTCTAATTAGCGCGGGCCGCTCGGTACCCGCCGTAATTAAAACGTTGTTATCGGCGGGCACCTGGCGAGTCCGGCGAGCACGCCGCCGTTGCCTGCACTGCAATTACACTCGGCCGGCGCGTCTCGGCTTTCAAGGACCGGCGGGGACCGGCCGCCACCACGCCGCCGACGTCGCACTTGTCGCGTCGCGGTGGCGGCGGTCGCGGCGGTCGCGGGTGGCGCCCCGCGGCCAAGGCATTTGCTCGTCCTGTTCAACTCGTTCAACTCGAGGCCACGCCGCCGCACTGGCGGGCGGGCGACGAAACCCCCGGCGCGTCGAATTGCAGCCCGTTCCCCCATTTTGGCCGTCCCCGTCATTTGTTTTCTCTTTTCTTCTTCGTCGTTCTGCTGTGTAGTCCGGGGATGGAAGGCCTCGCTGGGCCGGCCTGCCACGGCCTGCCACGGCCTCCTGGGGCGTCGCCATCATACCGCACTCAGCTCGCTGTCCGTCTGTCCGTCCGTCCGCCGAGTCCCTTCCCCGTCCGCCCGTCCGTCCGCGATAGATATCGCCGCTCGTATTGTGCTGTCTGTCTGGATGCGTTTTAGAGATACGCCCTCCGGCCCCGCGCTCCGCCAGCGCCGCCGCCATTGTCTATCGGAGTGTGTCTGTCAAGGGGTTGTCAATATTTTTGACGCGCGTCGCGGGCTGCGCGGCGGTAGCGGCGCTGGGGCGGCTGGGGGCGCGCTGCCGTTGATTTGGCAGGTGGACGTGGCTGGGGTTGGTGGGCTGGGGTTGCCCTGATAGATGGCTGCGGCGCTGCCACCGCGTCGTTATGCACCGCCTGTTTTTCGCAGTTTGCCTGTTTTTGTGCGTCGCCGCCCTCACTCACTCCCTCACTCCTCGGTCCTCGCGTTAGGCGCGCTCCGTCTCTGTCGCGCCGCCGGCGGGAAGGGGTGACGGCGGCCGGGGTGTGGGGGAGTGCCCCCCCCCCCTTCTGGTTATCGTCTTGCCGGGGATGGCTGCGCAAGGCTGCGCTCGCAGGGCTCGGAGCGCTCCCATTCGCCGCGCCTGCCCGCTAGGCAACTTGCTACGCTTGATTGAGTGACGCCTCCCCCCCTCCCCCTCCCCGCCGTCGCTACACTGTTCCGATGTTCCGATTCGCCGTGCCGCGGCCGGCGCGTCGTGTACAACAACCACCGGCAGGCTGGTTCCGGAAGAGAGCCGCGTCGCTCTGTCTCCCTCGCACTCTCGGGGCGTTCCGTTGCGGTGCGAGAGAGACAGAGCGACGCGGCAGTGTTCGGCATCAGTCTGCTGCGCCTCGTTTTTGTTGTGTGTAACTCCCTTTCAGCCGGGCGGGGCGGGGCGGGGCGCGGTGCCGCGGCGTTGTCGCTGTAAAATTGATGATGGTCGAAGCGGCAGCGGCGTCCGCTTTGTCGGGGAGCTTGTCATCCAGCAGGAACACCAGCGCGCGTCTCTCTCGCACCCCTACGGGTCGCGCCGTGAGGTCGAGAGAGACAGACTGACCGTTCGGAATCAGCCTCCTCCTCCGCTCCAAGCCCCGCCGCCCCGCCCAGCGCGCCGAACCAGGACCTTCGAACCCACTTAAAATCTTCCGCACCTCCTGCTTCCGAAAAGCGACGGGGCAGGATTTGGGACGACGGCCGGGCGATGCCGGCGCTGGTCCTCGAGGGGAGTCCGTCTCTCTCGCACCCACACGCCGCATGGTGGCGCGAGAGCGTGCGAGAGAGACAGCGCGACGCGAAAAGCGCTCTCCGGAATCGCTCTGCTGGCTCGCTACAAAGCCCCGGTCGAGGCTTTGGGGCGTTTGAATGCCTGGCCCTGCCTGGCAAACGGGGTCTCACTCTTGTATCAGTGTGGATGGAACACTCGTTATGCCCCTATGGCTACGCGACGCTCTGGGGCTCGCCGGCCCCGCCGCCTCACCCTGCCGCCCCGCCGCTTCCCTTCCCACTGCGACGGCCGTGTTGTGTTAGACTTGGGCTGCGGGTACTTGCGCTGTATTGGCTGCGGGTGGGACGAGTTTCTTTGTGTCGGCGCACCCACACATGCATGCATGCATGAGCGCTGGCGTGTATGTATGTGTGTGTGCGTGCGTGAGTGAGTGAGTGTGACGTGCGCAAAGCCGGCCGAGCCACCCCCGCTGTCGCCCGCCCCCGGCCCGCCCCTGGCACGCCCCCGAAGCCCTGCGAGTAATTATGATCAGTCCTTCTTCTCCTCTTCTGCTCGTGTCGCCGTCGGCGCCCTCTGGCGGCCGGCAATGAAATGAATCCAGCCTGGCCGGCCAAGCCTGCGGCTAAACACCGTAATGAGTCGACGGCCCCTTTCGCTGTGTGTGTGAGTGTGTGTGAGTGTGTGTGCCTGTCACGCGAGTGGGCCTAAAAACACGCGGCCACGGCCACGACGGCGGCCTCGGCGCATTAAACACCGTCATATTCTTCTTGTCCTCCGCGATGACGACGTCGTCGGCGTCCTCGGCGTCCCCGTCTCCGGCGGCCATGTCTGGCGCGCATTACTGCTCCGCCGTGCTGGCTGTGCTCGTTCTGCCCGTCGTTCCACGCCGTTCCTCGCAGTGGTCGTTACGGCCCGCTGCCTACACTGCGTCCTGCGTTACTCTCAGGCAGGGCTTTGGCTGGGGTTTGCCTACTTCGATCGGTGAGCCGGACGCCGCCGTCGTGACATAACCGTTCGCGTTCGCGGCGTTCGCGGCGTTCGCCTTGGCGGTCGTGCTCTGGAGCAGTAGTATACAGTGCCCCGTCCGTCGGCCGTCGGCGCCGTCCAGACCGCGCAATGGCCTCCCTAAGCAATTCCCTACGCGAGTTTCAGAGTTTCAAAGTTGGCCCGGCGTGCTCGCGGGGCGCGGCGGGGCGGGGCGGGGCGGCGGGGAACACCCTCCCTCTTAATACCCACACGTACAGGCATAACGACCAAGGGGGCGGCGGCGGCTCGGGTTGCCCGGCTGTGCATCTCGGGCGCGGTAACCGTGGCAACCGGCCTACACTGCCAGGCATCCTCCATCGTCCACGCACGCCCACGCCTCGCGGGACACCCCCTCCCCCTTTTTCGGGCGCGTCCAGGTCAGGTGAGACGGCTGCACCCGATGTACACAGTGTACACGAAGGGCGGGGGCGCTATTTCGGGGCTCGGCGCGGAGCCCTGCGGGCTCCACCGTTTTTCAATATCCGCGTCCACATCTAGCCTCGCGCCGCCCGACGCCCGGCGCCGCTCCCCGTCCCGAGATTATCATTTGCAGTCCCGCATCTCGCGGCCGGATCCCAAGCGTCCCGTCTCTCTCGCCCTCGCGGGGCGCTCCGTAGGGGTGCGAGAGAGACGGGGCGGCTTATGCTGTTCGGAATGCAGCCCCGTCGTTCCGCCGCGTAGTTCTGCTTCGCGGAACTCTTTGATCGCTGATTGCGCTCGTTGGAGTGCCCGGAGGCGTTCGCGGCGTGGCGTTCGCGGCGT